AACAAGGGAAGTTGAAGAAGAAAAAGATGAGGTTGACCACAAAGAGGAAGAGTCAACGAAGACAAAATTCCTTCCGCTATCATCATATGAGCCACTCCCTCCATTCCCTGAGGCATTGAAGGACACAAGGAAGTTAGAGAATTATCGGGACATCTACGAGACCTTCGCGAATTGTAAGGTAAATACCCCACTCTTTAAACTAATCAAAAGTGTTCCCCGTTATGCAAAGTTTTTGAAAGAACTATGCACAATAAAAAGAAAAAATAAATTAACGGGGAAATAAAAGGTTGAAGTTAGTGAACATGTCTCAGCCATCTTTCAAAAGAAACTTCCAAAAAAATGTAGCGACCCAGACATGTTCACTATTCCTTGCAAAATAGGGGAAACCATATTCTCTAAGGCCTTGTTGGATTTAGGAGCATCAATAAATGTCATTCCTTACTCCTTGTATAAATCCTTACAACTCGGCCCACTACATCAAACTGGTGTAGTGATTCAACTAGCGGATCGATCTAATACCTACCCGAAAGGTGTAATAGAAGATGTGCTAGTAGAAGTAGAAAATTTGGTTTTTCCTGTTGACTTCTACGTTCTTGAAATGGGAGATGATGACCAAATGACACCCATCCTGTTGGGTAGACCTTTCCTAAAGACCGCAAAAACAAAAATTGATGTGTATAGTGGTTTATTAACTTTAGAGTTCGATGACCAAAAAGTAGAGTTCAATATCTTTGACTCTACGGAAAAACAAATTAAAGATCAATCTCTTTGTTCTTTGCATGTTTTTGAACCACCAACACCAAATATTTCAATTGAGTTGGGAACAAAGAAGAAAGGTCGGCCTTACTGGAAAAGGCCGAAGAAGAAAAATGAAACTCAACCAAACAAGGCTGTTAAAAAGGGAAGGGATGTTCACGATCCCACATAAAATGAAATAAATAAAATAAAAAATAAAACGTCGTGCCACGAGGTTAAATAAAGCGCTTCTTGGGAGGCAACCCAAGTCAAGTAGTTAGATTTTATTTTCTTTTTGTGTGAATTTGAGAGAAAAGGGAGCGAGGGAACTAACCACATGTTTTTGGAAAAGAAAAGAAAAAAATCCAGGTTTTGTGCAGCTGGAGACATACTCGATCGGGTATAATTAAATACCCGGTCGAGTACAGGTTAAAAAGAGGAACCGATTTCAGTACTCGATCGAAACAACACATCTTTTCAGAGATGCAAGCATACTCGATCGAGTATCATTCAATACTCGGTCGAGTATGTCTCTAAAATCAACCCTACCAGACCCCTGTCTTGAAGACCCGATCGAGTAATCCTCTAATACTCGGTCGAGTATCAGCAGAAAAGCCACATTCGCAGCCCCTGTCTCCAGTACCCGATCGGGTATAGCAGGGTACTCGATCGGGTACCCCTGCGATTTAACCCCCCAAAAAACCCCAACCCACTTCATCTTCTCCAAAAATCATCCCAAACTTCGAACCCCTCTCCCCCAAACTCCATTTTTGGACCTTCTCTCTACCATTTCTCTCTCATTTCTTCACCAAATCAACCCATTCCACCACCAAAATACTCCCCTCACTCTCCTCTACATACTCATACCCATAAATCCCATCTTCCCCAAACTTCCACAAAATCCAAAAACACTACCTCCAAATTCGAATTTTTTGGATTTCAAACTCAAAATCATCCACAATGGCAACAAGGAAGAATAGGGGAGAGAGCTCAAGCACCATGGCACCTATTCCGGGCTTCGAGGACCTCATACCCGCCGACAACGATCACCGAGCTAGACTCCTCTCAACAATAAAAAGGCAAGCAAAACCTTCCCGTTTTCTATGGCATGATGCTCTACGTGAATTAGGAGTGTATAAGAGTTGTAGAAAATTCTTTCATGAGTTGGGCATGGACCGTATTTTCAAAATGAAATACAACTCTAATGAACGAATTATCTATGAATTCATGAGTTCGGTGCAATTTGAAAGTGATGAGGCTGATTTTAGGGATGATAGACTCAAGTTTTGTCTGTTTAACCAAAACTATTCAATCACGAAACTTGAGTTTGCCGAACATTTTGGCATCCCCGTTCCCTACGAAAGAGCCATCTCTGATAACACTATTTTCGGGCATTTCCTATGGACAAAGATGACCGGAGAAGTGAAATTTAGCTCCTCCCAAATGTATATTAGTCATGTCCAACACCCCGTCCTCCGGTTGTTCTTGAAATTTTTAGCAAATTGCTTGCTTGGACGTCCCAACAACCACCACACTAGGATCGGGGACGTGTGTTTGATGTCTGTGGCCTTATTCCGTCGTCATGTGGACTTTAATCTGTGCAATCTCATGTGGGCACATTTGAAAAAAAAAAAGCTTAGCGAAAGGGGCCATTGTTGTGGGTGGGGTGATTATGCACTTAGCGAGTAAGTTCGGGTATACGGATAACTCTCCTATACCCGACTATTGTTTGATGGATATGGGTTGGTTAGGCCGCTCATGATGCACCGCTTTTTCCCATACGGTGTATGATGGGGATCAACCGAAAAACATGTACAACTGGATCATACACCTCCAACCTGTCCAACACTTCCTTATGCCAAGCCTAGACATCCCCAAAATACTCTACAGACCGGAGTTCGAGGTGCCTCACTACCTATTCCCTCACGCCCTTCCACCAAATTTCCAAGAACCTCAACAAGACCAACCCGAGGACGAGCCTTATGTCGGACCCCATGATCATGAAGCCATGGACGCAGACATCCCCGAGCAGAACCAAGTCCCTCCACCACCCGATTACTTCCAACAACTACTTGACGGATTCACCAAAGTTACCGACGAAGTTGGAAAGTATCGGGAGGAACAAAGAGTGGGATTTCAACGACTTGAGGAGCAACGGGCCGCAGATAACCGGAGATACGAAGAAGATCAACGTAGGTTCTATGGACCTATGTACTCTTACATGGCGCATCAAGGCTCCTTCCATACCATGGCTCAACCACCCCCACCCCCCTCTTGGTATGACCCCACTCAATGGGGTACCTTTGGAGGATCTAGCTCCGGGGGTGGAGGTTATGATGGCGGGGACGGCGGGGATGCTCACATGGGCGACGGGAGCTTTGGAGGCGGATTTGGAGGCGGCTTCTACGGCGGAGAAGGTGGACACTAGGGACACTGCTTCACATAAGTGTGGGGGAGGAGACTCATCATGGGTATAACACTTTATTTTTACCCTTTACTATGCATGAATTTCTTTTACTCTTTGTAAACAAAAAAAAAAGGAAAAAAATAGAATAAATAAAAGAATAGAAATGCTAGTTAGGTTGAAAACCTAACAAAATGGGCAATCTAAGCAAAAAGGGCTTATAAAAAAAATGAGTGAGTGGGGAGAATGGAAAATGTAAAGAGATGCTAGGATGAAAACCTGAAAAGGCTCCTAGGCAAAATGAGAGATATGAGAGAAATATGTGTTTTTGTAGGCACTCATTTCATCTCTTAGGAGAAGAAGAAGAGAAGAAGAAAAAGAAAAAGAAGAAGAAAAAGAGGCAAGAAGATGGAGCATAGAATATCATTAAACCCAAGAAAGAATGTTGTTGTAAAAACTCATTTTTCCCCTTCGTGGTCTTAGTTTCTTTCTTTCTTGAACTCTTGGAAAACTCTTAAACTGTTTGATATTTCTATTTTACTCGAGGTCGAGTAAAGAACTAAGTGTGGGGGAGTTGATACGCTTGTAATTTCCGTGTGTTTATTTACGTTTTTAGTTAGTTTTGGTTGTTTAGTATTTCGGAAATTACACACTTTTGGTGTAATAGTTTAGTTTGTTAAATTCTTGTAAATTGTTTAGATTAGGTTTATTCGGAGCTCAAACAGGTCTACTATCACTCAAAGGACAGTTGGTGAATCCCAAAAGTGGAAGGAAGGTGCAAAATCACAAGACAAAAGGGAAGATCCTGATTTTAGGTCTATACCCGGTCGAGTATCATCTATACTCGATCGGGTATCTTGTTGAAATTTCAAATCGGATCGGATCCGAAAACAAAGGAACATGCAGGGAAGATTTTGACATGATCGAATGTCTATACCCGATCGGGTACACCGACATACTCGATCGGGTATAGTGATATGCACTAGTTAGTAGTGCATAAATGTGTATTTTTATATCTTGTTTTGTGTGGATTGTTTACCATTTGTGTGTAGTTGTAAACATTTGTTCACTTTTTATTTGTAAGTGTTTTTAGCTTTTATTTGTGGGTTAGGAAGTTTTGGTAGAATTGTTGGCAAGGAAAAGGAAGAAAAACAAGGAGAATGCTGCCCAGAAGTATAAACCCGACCGGGTAGAAACCTTCACCCGGTCGGGTTTGAATTAACATTTGTAGTCTCCAGGAAATTGCTTGGCCCGGTCGGGCCCTATACCTCACCCGGTCGGGTGAGACTTGACCGAAGACAACCCGACGTGCTGAAGAACACTAGAACGTGGAAAATATTTGATTCGGACCGGTACCCGGTCGGGTAGATACTCTACCCGGTCGGGTACTCGACCAAAGGTGTTGAAAAACACCTATAAATAGCACACTTTTCCTTCACTAAAAATAATCCCTTCTTCCATACTCTTAAGCTCAGTTTAGAATAGTATTTCTTTTATATTTTTATAGCATGTTTAGTCTCCAAATGAGGAGCTAAACTCTTCCATCTTGGTTTTGCTACTTTGAAGCTTAATGAATTTGTAAGTTGTGAGTTATTCTCTTTAATCTTCTTCCTTGAATATTAATTCTTCCTTTAAATACTATTTCTATATCAATGTTGGGGAGTGTTACTAAGATGACAATTAGTTAACATCTTGACATTAATTATAGTAATAGCTATTTCTTCCTCTATGTTAATATTGGGGAGTGTTACTAAGATGACAATTAGTTAACATCTTGATATTAACTATAGTAGGATTCATCTTCTTTAATATTCTTCCTTGAGTATTAATTAATTCCTATTCATATTTCATATTAATATTTTGAACATTACTTAAAGGATCAACTAGTTTTGTTTCATATATTAATTATTACTAGAATCAATCGGTTAATACGCTTGTTATTAATTCGGTTCTTTCAATGGTAGTAAACTTGGGTTGTTAATGCATGCTTCTCATGATTAATAAGCCAAGGGGAATTAATTATATTGATTAAACCAATAAACCGCTTGTGTTGAGGTTATCAATCTCAATCGTTTTCATCTTGATTTTATTGCTACTATCAAGTTAATATACGGCGCTTGTTCTATATTGACTCGGTAGTAAGTTTTATTAATGAACGCGTCTCGTTATTAATAACTACCCTCGATGAACTGGATATACTCCTCGATTGAGTATTCGAGAGGAAGATAGTTAAAGATATAACCGGGATCGACGAACATTTCATTAAGTGGATAAAAGCAAAACCAAGTCTTCTTCTCATTAATTAAACCACATAACTCGTTCATCTTCGTGTTTAATTTATTAAACCAAATCAAACTAAAACCCCCCATTTTGTCACTGGTTCTATAAAAAGAAAAGTATTCCTTTCCCTGTGGATACGAACCTTACTTCACTATACTACGTATTAGTGTTGTATTGTATTTATTATTTTGAGTGCACACCACGACAAAGTGCACGTCAAATTTGGCGCCGTTGCCGGGGAAAGGCAATAATTTTTCTTTTTATTTTAAATTAAGAAAAATCGAAAAAAAATATAAATAAATAAAATATAAAGCGCTCTTACTTTTTCTATTTCTGAGTTTACATGAGTATATGGTAAAAACCCGTTCTATAAACGAACTTACTTACCAAACAAACCCCGAAATAGAACAAGCCTTCGAGAGGTTGAGAAATTTATTTCCGCACACACCCTCGGAGGAATCCTCAAACGCTAGCTCTAGCTCTAGCGAATCCGAAGAGTCATTCCACATGGCTCTCGAGACAAGGACCTTGAGGGAGCTCACAGCTCCAAACTTGAATCAACAACCATTATGTATTACCTTTCCTACTCTTGATGAAGGTAATACATTTGAGCTGAAATCTGGGCTCATACATTTATTGCCATCTTTCCATGGCATGAGAGGAGAAGATCCGAATAAACATCTTTCGGAGTTCCACATCGTTTGCACAAGCATGTGCCCAAACGGTGCCACAGAAGAGCAAATAAAACTGAGAGCCTTCCCATTCTCATTGAAAGATACTGCGAAGGATTGGCTTTTCTATCTTCCTTCGGGAAGCATCAACACATGGGCACAAATGAAGAAGTGCTTCCTCGATAGGTATTATCCTGCTTCCATCTCATCTTCTCTCAAAAAGCAAATAAGCAACATCGAGCAAAAGGATGATGAATCCTTATATGAATTTTGGGAAAGATTTAAGAAGCTATGTGCTAGCTGTCCCTATCATGGCTACTCAGAACAAGACCTCATCTTATACTTTTATGATGGTCTTGTTGATGATGATAGAAGAATGGTGAACGCCGCTTGTGGAGGCGGCATTGTTAATAAAACTCCTTCACAAGCTATAAATCTTATCTCGGAATTGGCCGAGAACTCACGGCAATTCGGTCGCAGATCCTCAACTCGTAGAGTTGCCGCGGCAGAATCGACATCATCACTGGAGAGTCAAGTTGCCGGCTTGACTTCCTTGGTTAAGGATTTCCTCTTAAAATCCAAGACCCAAGAAGTCAAGGTCTGCGGCATTTGTACGCAACAAGGGCATCCCACTGACTCATGCTCGACTCTTCAAGAAAACGATACAGAGCAAGTCAATGCCTTGGGTTTCCAAGGCCACCAACAAAGGAGGTACGATCCATTCTCAAACTCTTACAACCCTGGATTAAGAGATCATCCAAACTTGAGGTATGGAAACTCCCAACAATCCAAACCATCTTCTCAACCATCTTTTGACAATCAAGGTTCAAACTCTCAATCTAATATGTCAACGGATGAAATGATACGAGCTTTGACTTCAAACATGGTTACCATGCAACAAAGCATGGGTCAATTTCAACAAACCATGATACAATTCCAACATGAAACGAAGTCAAGCATTAAAAATTTGGAAACCCAAGTTAGCCAAATTTCAAATGCCGTAAGCCGTCTTGAAGCAAAGGACTCGGGTAAACTCCCATCTCAAACGGAGCAAAACCCGAGACAACATGTGAATGCAATCATGTTGAAGGGGGTAAAAAAAAATGACCAAGAGATCAAGGAGGTTGATCATGAAGAAGAAGCTCAATCTGAGGAGGGAACCACAAAGGCGAAACTTCCACCATATGCATCGTATGAACCAGTAGCCCCATTTCCCGAGGCACTGATGGAGACAAGGAAGCTGGAGAAAGATACTGACATCTATGAGACATTCGCCAAGTGTGAGGTAAACATTCCGCTCCTTAACTCAATTAAAAATGTTCCCCGTTTTGCTAAATTTTTAAAAGAATTATGCAAAACAAAACGAAAGGATAAGTCAAAAGAAAAGCAAGAGGTCAAGGTTAGTGAACATGTATCGGCTCTATTTCAAAAGAAACTTCCCGAAAAATGTAGCGACCCGGGCATGTTCACCATACCTTGCAAGATAGGGGACACCGCATTTTCTAAGGCCTTGTTGGATTTAGGGGCATCTATAAATGTCATTCCTTACTCTGTTTATAAATCCCTACAACTCGGCCCACTACATCAAACAGGTGTAGTGATTCAACTAGCGGATCATTCTAATACTTACCCGAAGGGTATAATAGAAGATGTGCTAGTAGAAGTAGAAAATATGGTTTTTCCTGTTGACTTCTATGTCCTTGAAATGGGAAATGATGACCAAACAACACCCATCCTTTTGGGTAGACCCTTCTTAAAGACCGCAAAAACAAAAATTGACGTGTCTAGTGGTTCATTAACTTTAGAGTTCGATGACCAAAAAGTAGAGTTCAACATCTTTGACTCTACGAAAAAACAAATTAAAGCCCAATCTCTTTGTTCTTTAACTGTTTTTGGACCACAAGAACCAAAGTCCTTGAAGGAATCTAATAAAATCCCAATTTTTCAAAAAAATAAGAATAGGGGATCATCTGCGGTTGAGGAGGCAATAAAAACAAAAATTCGACCTTACTGGAAAAGGTCGAAAAACAAAATGAGTACGAGGCCAAACAAGATTGTTCACGATCCCACTTAAAATAGAAAATAAAATAAAAATAACGTCGTGCCGCGACGTTAAATCAAGCGCTTCTTGGGAGGCAACCCAAGTTTGTATTTTGAGCATTTTCATTTATTTTTGTGTGCGAGAAAACCTTTTCAAAAAAAAAAAAAAAAAAAAAAAAAAATTAAGGCCAGACCCGGCCGGGTAACTTTTTGAACCCGGTCGGATCTAGCAGAAAAATATTTTCACCAGACCTCCACCCGACCGAAGCAAGTCACAATTATTTCGAAATTTTTTTTTTACCCGACCGGGCAACTCCAACAAACCCGGCCGGGTAACTAAATTATTTGGTACCAGACCACTGCTTTGCAAATCCGACCGGGTCAAACCACATACCCGGCCGGACAAAAAAATAAAATAAAATAGTCAAAATTAACTAATACCCGACCGGGTACTTTATTTCACCCGGCCGGGTATTCATTCCAGTAGCTACTGGATAGGCGGGATCGAAAGGCCCGACCGGGTCTATTAACCCACCCGACCGGGTGAACGGGAAAACACCCCTATACCAGGTCGGGCTACCCTCTTCCTCTCCCAATCTTCTTCTTCTTCCTACGAACCAACCCCCAAAATCCCCCATTTTTACACTCCAAAAGCTTCGAATCTACCCCATTTCTCCACCAAATCAATCAAATAAAATCATTTTCTTCATCTCCCATTCACCCTCTTCCACTCTATACCCATAAATCCATCTCAAATCCACCAATTACACCAAACCCACAAAACCCTACCCCAAATCCGAAAATCCCCATTTTTGGGCATTCAAGGTCCAAAATCAAACCCAAAATCCCCAACCAATATCATATCCTTGTTCTCCTCACCATTCTCTTCCAAACCATACCGATAAAAACTCTCCAAAACACACCCTAGCCAAAAGTCCGAAAATCCTTCAAGAAAAAACCAAAAAAAATCAAATTCAATGGCTCCAAGAAAATCAAAAGGCTCTTCCTCAAGGGGTAACCGAGCTATACCACCGGTGCCGGGCTACGAGAATGTGGATTTGGCTACGGAGGGTCAAAGGGAAAGCTTCATCAACCAAACAAAGAGGGAGGTAAAACAATCCCGTTTCATGTGCTTAACTACTCTAGCATTACTGTGGATTGATGTTGTGATGCGTGACATATTTGCGAGAATTGGAATGACTAGAATATTTGGAATGCAATATGTTACATATCCTCATTTGGTGTATGAATTTTTTAGCTCGTTTGCGTATACGAAAGATGTGGATGATCATGCAAATGACATCATCACCTTTCGTTTACTAAATGAAAATCGTTCATTAACCAAAAGGGAATTTGCTCAACACTTTGGCCTCCCATTATTTGATGAAGCACGTACATATGATTCTCTTGTGGGATATGAGTTGTGGAAGAGAATGACAGGAAAACCTGTGGTTGATCTTTCTAAGCTGAGCGTGAACCGTGTGCAACATCCGGTCTTCCGACTATTCTTAAAATTCTGCTCCAATTGTTTTCTCGGAAGACCAAATAATCATCACACACGGATTTGGGATGTGTGCGTTCTAGCACAAGCTGTTTTGCCTGGCCCGGATCAAGTTGATGTTGCCACCATCTTATGGACCCATTTCTACAACGTGGCAACATCAACAGGACCAATTGTGATGGGGGGCCTCATCACACATATAGCCACTTTATATGGTTTTGTAGACCACGGCCCCATCACCTCAAGACAACTTATTTGCACTGAATGGCTTGTAACAAAGACCCTAGACTTGGTATCCTCTCACAAAACACCAACCGGGGCACAAGTCTATAATTGGCGCATCCTCCCACGCACCTCCATCTACCTCCAAATACCCTCGGCCGATGTCCCCCTGGATATCATCGATCACCAAATCGGGGATGGTCATCACTATTGTCTTCCCGGGGCAATCCCGGATCATTATGAAGAACCCATCCAAAATGAAGATGATGAAGAACCACCAATCATACCCGAACAACCCCCACTAATGCCTGAACAACCACAACCTCAAGCTTTTCACTACACACCTTTCGAGCAACAAATGCTCGATAACATGGCCATGCTCAACAACAACTACACCCAACTTCGGAATGAAGTTGGATTATATCGTACGGAGCACAGGCAGAGCTTTGAGAGGATGGAGGAGCAGCGGCAGGCAGACTGGCGTAGATATGAGGAAGACCGCCGGAGAGATGAGGAGGACCTACGGAGGACCTATGGTCCTATTTATTCCTATATGGCGCATCAGGGTGGATTTGCATCTATGACCACTCCCCCTCCCGCACCCTCTTGGTATGATCCCACTGCATGGGGTTATTTTGGAGGCTCGAGTTCCGGTGGTGGAGGCGATGATGGTGGTTATGGCGGTGATCACATGGATGAGGACAGACACCATGGTGGCGGTATGGGCGGGCACTAGGGACAGTGCAATGACTCAGCTGGGGGGAGACTATTCTGGTAAGCTTACATTCACACTCTTTATTTTCTTTTTATTAAAAAAAAAAAAAAAAAAAAAAAGAGCTTGTTAAGTTGAAAACCCACAAAGGGCAACTTAAGCAAAAATAAGCAAAATAAGAGTGAGTTTGTGAGGATTAAAACAGAAAAATGTGGGAAGCTGGGATGAAAACCCGAAAGGGCACCTAGGCAAAAATGAGAGAATGAGAGAAATTATTTCTTTTGACTTTGCAGGATCCTAAGGGTGATGATGAAAGGGAGTTCGTTGGTGAGAAAACCAATTTCGAAGACCTCTTGATGTTGGGGATATTTTTTGTAATCATTCTGCTTCTAGATACACTTTATGGTGGTTGTTTTGATACTGTTGTTTTGAAGACTTCATGGACATGATTTATTTTACTCGAGACGAGTAAAAGTTCAAGTGTGGGGGTATTTGATATGCACTAGTTAGTAGTGCATAAATGTGTATTTTTATATCTTGTTTTGTGTGGATTGTTTACCATTTGTGTGTAGTTGTAAACATTTGTTCACTTTTTATTTGTAAGTGTTTTTAGCTTTTATTTGTGGGTTAGGAAGTTTTGGTAGAATTGTTGGCAAGGAAAAGGAAGAAAAACAAGGAGAATGCTGCCCAGAAGTATAAACCCGACCGGGTAGAAACCTTCACCCGGTCGGGTTTGAATTAACATTTGTAGTCTCCAGGAAATTGCTTGGCCCGGTCGGGCCCTATACCTCACCCGGTCGGGTGAGACTTGACCGAAGACAACCCGACGTGCTGAAGAACACTAGAACGTGGAAAATATTTGATTCGGACCGGTACCCGGTCGGGTAGATACTCTACCCGGTCGGGTACTCGACCAAAGGTGTTGAAAAACACCTATAAATAGCACACTTTTCCTTCACTAAAAATAATCCCTTCTTCCATACTCTTAAGCTCAGTTTAGAATAGTATTTCTTTTATATTTTTATAGCATGTTTAGTCTCCAAATGAGGAGCTAAACTCTTCCATCTTGGTTTTGCTACTTTGAAGCTTAATGAATTTGTAAGTTGTGAGTTATTCTCTTTAATCTTCTTCCTTGAATATTAATTCTTCCTTTAAATACTATTTCTATATCAATGTTGGGGAGTGTTACTAAGATGACAATTAGTTAACATCTTGACATTAATTATAGTAATAGCTATTTCTTCCTCTATGTTAATATTGGGGAGTGTTACTAAGATGACAATTAGTTAACATCTTGATATTAACTATAGTAGGATTCATCTTCTTTAATATTCTTCCTTGAGTATTAATTAATTCCTATTCATATTTCATATTAATATTTTGAACATTACTTAAAGGATCAACTAGTTTTGTTTCATATATTAATTATTACTAGAATCAATCGGTTAATACGCTTGTTATTAATTCGGTTCTTTCAATGGTAGTAAACTTGGGTTGTTAATGCATGCTTCTCATGATTAATAAGCCAAGGGGAATTAATTATATTGATTAAACCAATAAACCGCTTGTGTTGAGGTTATCAATCTCAATCGTTTTCATCTTGATTTTATTGCTACTATCAAGTTAATATACGGCGCTTGTTCTATATTGACTCGGTAGTAAGTTTTATTAATGAACGCGTCTCGTTATTAATAACTACGCTCGATGAACTGGATATACTCCTCGATTGAGTATTCGAGAGGAAGATAGTTAAAGATATAACCGGGATCGACGAACATTTCATTAAGTGGATAAAAGCAAAACCAAGTCTTCTTCTCATTAATTAAACCACATAACTCGTTCATCTTCGTGTTTAATTTATTAAACCAAATCAAACTAAAACCCCCCATTTTGTCACTGGTTCTATAAAAAGAAAAGTATTCCTTTCCCTGTGGATACGAACCTTACTTCACTATACTACGTATTAGTGTTGTATTGTATTTATTATTTTGAGTGCACACCACGACAAAGTGCACGTCATATAGCTATAAATTTTACTCGAATATCGATCGAGTATGGATCGAATTTGAGTTTCTACACATACTCGATCGAGTATCTGAATATACTCGATCGAGTACCCGACCTGCACCCCCAAAAGGCCTATAAATACACCTCCTTTCCTTCACAATTAGATACCAATTCCTTTATACTCTTAAGCTCAGTTTAGAATAGTATTTCTTTATATTTCTTTTAGTATGTTTAGTCTCCAAATGAGGAGCTAAACTTCCATTTCTTGGTATTGCTCTTGAAGCTTGTTGATTATTAAAGTTGTGAGTTATTTTCTTAACTTCTTTACTTGAATATTAATTCTTCCTTTAAATACTATTTCAATATCAATGTTGGGGAGTGTTACTAAGATGACAATTAGTTAACATCTTGACATTGATCTTAGTAATAGCTATTCCTTCCTCTATGTTAATATTGGGGAGTGTTACTAAGATGACAATTAGTTAACATCTTGATATTAACTATAGTAGGATTCATTTTATTTAATATTCTTCCTTGAGTATTAATTAATTCATATTCATATTTCATATTAATATTTTGAACATTACTTAAAGGTTCAACTAGTTTTGTTTCATATATTAATTATTACTAGAAACGATCAACGAACCGATGGTTAATCGTTGATAGTTTCACAAGTAAGTAACTTCGGTTTATTAATGCACGATCGTGGTTAATAAACTTAAGAGGGATTAATTTTGTTGGTTAAACCGAAACCGTTGTGTTGAGGTTATCAATCTCAATTGATTTCATCAAGGAGTTAAAAGATTAAATGCTACTATCAAGTCGGTATATGGCGTTGTTCTATACTTGACTAATAGTAAGGGTTATTAATGAACGGTCGTTGTTAATAACTATCCTCGATGAATTGGATATACTCCTCGATTGAGTATTCGAGAGGAGATAAGTTATAGATATAACAATGATCGACTAAAATATATCAACAAGTGGAAAATAGCAATGCCAAGTCCCTTTTATTCTTGATTTTAATCCCACATAACTCGTTCATCTTCGTGTTTAATTTAATTAAATCACTCAATCAAAACTCCCCCCTTTATTTACTATTTACATAAAAAGAAAGTTATTCATTTCCCTGTGGATACGAACTCTACTATGCTATACTACGTATTAGTGTTAGTATTAAATTTATTTTGAGTGCACACACGACAAAGTGCACATCAGTCTGCAGCTACTGCCAATCAGGCTATAAGCAATCACATTGCTTTAATTAAACTTCTTGTGTCTAACATAGCCTAAATTAAAGTTATAAATATGATGCAACTAAAGAGAAATCAAAGCATTTCCGCATGAAACTAGTCTGTAATAGGGACGATGGTGTAACCATTTTGTATGTTTATTTTACTAGAAAAAAAGGAAAAATTGGATAACCACACACAATAACACAAATCATTGGTATTAATAACATATACGTGTAAAACGAGATTTTTATGCTAACTTACGTCGAAAAGATTTGTTTTAAAGCACTTTGAAAAAAATGGTTCAGCTGACGCAAGGAGTCCTTGAGATTTTGTCAATTTAATTAACAATAAGTCTTGGTGTACGCCCTGGGGTACACTATATATAAGGTCAAATTTTTTTTACTCCATCCTCCCACACCTTTCACACACTCACGCGTATCTTCAGCTAAAAAAAACCTCTCTCCCATTCGAAATTCGTCTCCCCTTATATTACCCGCATCCCAACTGTTCCCAAACCTTCCCGCTCCGCCTTCCTCATTCCCTCTTCACACAGCTTCCACTTCCTCTTCGTTCGTCCTCATCCCCATTCTGTAGGCGTCGTCAGTCCGGATTCCTCCATCCCCTCTTCATTCTCCTTCCACACAATGAAGTTATACTCCTTGATTGAGTATTCGAGAGGGGATAAGTTATAGATATAACAATGATCGACTAAAATATATCAACAAGTGAAAAGTAGCAAGACCAAGTCCCTTTTGTTCTTGAATTAAATTTCATATAAGTCGTTCATCTTCGTGCTTAATTAAATTAAATCACTCAATCCCAAAACCCCCATTTTATTTACTAGTTATATAAATAGAGAATTACTCATTTCCCTGTGGATACGAACTCTACTTCACCTATACTACGTATAAGTGCTAGTATCGATTTATTTTGACACACCGTGACAAAGTGCTCGTCAGTAGGCTTATATTTCAGTTTAATAAAATCGATTTGACTTTGTGTTGGATATTTAATTAATGAAGAAGTTATAAGGATTAACTGGTGATGTGTTGGAAGTTGGAACTGAACTGTTTGTGTTCACCAAATTTTTGTGAACTATAGTTGTTCTTTGAAGGGTCATATATCTATTTATAATGTTTTAGTTTTGTGTTGTCGTGTATTTAACTAGAAACATTAATTTGTTGACTACGAGTTGTATATGAGTCTTCTTCATTAGGTTTTTGATTGTGTATTGGAGTTTAATATAGTAATAACCGTGTTTACCATTTCGTCAATTTCGGTTTTTGTGTTTAAAAATTAAAAATAGAAGTTAGAACCCTTAAATCGGTTGTGTGTGTGCATTTGGAATTGCAGTGTCGGTATAACCTTATGGTTTGAGTCATAGCTGTCAGTGAGTTCTTATGTACGTGACATGTTTGAAGTGTCTGTGAGTTGTTAAGTATGACCTGCACTGACAAGACTTCAAATAAACATAAAGAAGGATGATTAGTAGCCGTGTTGTTGTTTGTGAATAACATCAATTCATTCCTTTGCAGGGCATAATGTCTGTTTGCACCGCCAATTGTCTATTTTTATGTCAGTTAAATTTGTATTTAATTGCATGAATGTCGTTTAATTTGTGTTTGAATAATTTAACTGATATCTTTTGTAACCTATAACGGCCGCTAGAATTACAATTGCTTGTAGAATAAGTTAAGAGAGATCTAATTTATTCTAGGACATATTCACACACACTTAATCGTTCGCTAAGAGATTAGTAGCGATTAAGGGGCCGTAAGCTCGCTCGTCTTGGCAATAATTTAGGATCCTGTCGCATGAGAGATCAGCCTGGTCCCCTAAATTATTGTACTCTATGCTGCGAGAGCGGTAAGAACTTAGTAATGATTATCTAGGCTCAATTAAATCAATTTCATGTGATTAGGCCTGTTCTGCCAGAAATCTGGTTACCCCGGAATCAATCCTTGTTTCCTTCGTCATTAATTAGAGAGAAACAAATCTTTTTATTTAATCGCTCATTCGCATGAGTTTAATTTTCAACCAACCAATCTCGCACATCGCATTTATTTTATTTATTTCTTTTTAATCGCTGAATTTAGTTAATTCTTATTTCTCTTTTGTCTGTCCCTGTGGAGACGATACTCGTACTTTTCACCACTATTCTACAATCTTTTTAAGTCCGAGATAACTCACATCAATCGACGAACATTTCGTTAAGTGGATAAAAGCAAAACCAAACCTTCATGT